TTCAACAAGCACAAAGAGTAAATKTGCAAAAGTTACTGGACCTATTAAAGCTCACTAATTAATCTATTATATTATAACTTTATTCGCATGAAAATTGAAAAAAGCCATTGGCAATAACAGCAACAATAAAACTACAAACAGAGCATAATGTTGAAACGAACGTTGCCGGAATGGAGCTCGCTCGTTTTTTTTCTTCCAGGTAACACCATTGCAAAAATATTCTTCGCTACCACTCAAACAAATCTTGCCAAAAGTGACACTTCAACTTACTGGAGGTTTATTACATCAGTATACAAATAAAGAAAGACACAATCATGGGAAAAGCCCGTAGCAAGAACTATTAATCTTTTTTTGTAAACTAACTGATGTCATTGTAGTTTAGCATAGTGCGCAATGTTTTTCCACTCCACTTGTTTTGCGAATGTTTCATAATATAACATAAAATAAAGTTCTTTAAGCTACTGATTTCTCTAGACTTTTTAATGTATTTGTGTGACAAGAAAGCGTATCAAGTTTTGTGAAAATATGAGTAGTAAATGATTTTCAAAAGTAACGTTTCCGTGACTACAGTGAACTTGACTTTAGTTCCTGTTAACAGCAATGGACTCTGGACGCTGATGAATGTGAGTTGTCGACCAATAAACACAAACTTTACGAAAACATGCTGACTACTCAGTTTTAGTAAATTTCCATCTCCAAATTACGAGTTGCTGGCTTATAAAAGATAGACAACTTGCTCATTTTAGTCAATCTGAAAACTTCTTTCAAACTAAAAGCTGCCAACACAACTGAAGAAAAACAAGGATTTCAAGCTCGAATATGGATGCAAAKAACAAGGTAAAAACATATTTGTACAACTGAACAGTAATCTGTGTTAGTTTATTATCGTATTCTTGTATATTTGATAGTTTAATTTGATTTGCAATTTCTTTAAAATACAAGGTTCTTCCACACTGAGCAGAAAACGATGTCCAATTGAGACATTTTCCTCATTTTTTGTCAATCAATTCACAAATAGAATCTTTATACTTATAAGCGCGAAGCTCTTCAATAAATTTCTAGCTTTTTTGAAAATGAAGCGCATATTCCCAGAAGTATTTCAAGCGAATTGAAACTGATGTGAGGGTGACGCTCAATTGCCTCGTGACATTATATTACGTCTATGAGTTAAACAATGATCAATATCAAACCTCTTGTTGTGAAACTGATCTTTATTTTCATTTTATTTCTGAAATGCATGTCTAGTTAATTAAAAATGGCAGTATTTATTGTTGATAGTCAGTTTTCATAAATACACTGAAATTTGATTCAAACAAAACGTGTTACGACTGATTGCTGTTAACCCCATGAAAAATCGAAGAGAAGAGAAGAGAGGACTGTAGCAGGTCGTGTTGTTTGATGTCTGAAGTCTTTTTGTCTTGATTTTTTTTCACAGATTCTCGCCATTGTGGTAGCTGTATGTCTGTCAAGTCTTGTAGCCGATGCAGGAAGATGTTCAGCAGATAAACGTCTTTCTCCCAACAAGAAACTCAAGCATCTTCGTCGACATTATTATTTTGTTGAAAAAGTAGAGGTGGCTCATCTTCGTCAAATCTTGAAGATCCCTCGTCGCACTAGACGTCAAGTCACTGTCGTAGACAACAATAGAGTGGGTACCAGTCTTTGTCCGTGGCGATGGATCGAAGATGARGATTCCAACAGGTCACCAAGGACGTTCATCAAGGCAGCATGCAGTGAGTGTAAGCATTACTGTCGAGCTGTGTACTTTACCCATCGTGCATTGGTGAAAAGATGTGATCAAACCACTGGGCGTGTGTGGAAATGGATCGATGTATTGTTACCTGTAGCTTATGTCTATGATCCATAGACTGACAACGTTATCTTATTTATTGATATTAATACTTACTCATAAATTCTAACTTTCATATTTATCATTAAAAAATAGTAAATAATAATCGCAATGCATTGTACATATCAATATTTGTCATGATGTCATTGTCAAAGTGGTGGCAATTCATATTAGTGATAAAGAAATACTTTCTTTCGTATTTCATATTTATTTAACCAATGTTGTATTATTTTGTAAATACTATTGTAAGTGACGAATGCAATCTCAAAATTAAAAAAAGTTGTTAATTGATCTACGGTGGTCTTCATAGAGTCCAGTAGTATATTATTCTAGGACAGTAGCGGCAATTTTCGATTGCACAGCCATACGAGTATATGTCAACCAGCAGGTCGATCGATCGATCTTTTTCTGATCGTTTATCCAGGAAGAACGACAACACCAATTGTTGCCTGTATGTTTCACTGTATCACTTGAACTCTTTAAAACTGCGGATTCACTTTGTGACATGCACTCTGAAATCAACATTAAATCAAAATCCCAGTGATTTATTAAAGTATTGACAGTATGTTAAGTGTCACGATCGTGTGCATCGAATTCAGAAAACGTGATGAACATTAGATGATATTTCGGGGAATACCCTTTTTGCCGATAGCCTCCCGCGCAAACGGTATCCGTTAAAAGCACCACATTCTTCACAGATCAAAGGAGGTAGTCAAAGCAGACTGTATAAACGAATATCATTTACTCCGGCTTCTACATACATTCTTGTCCGAAAAATGCAAATAACTGATTGTTGAAAAAAAAATTTCAACTGAATTTACATGTAATCCATTCAATTTTTAGTGATTTGTAGAGTGACCATTTTGTTTTGGAATCTGTTTTCTAATCGTACTCTTTTACCAGCCTCATCAAAACACTCTGACCCTTTCCGGAATTTTCTCACAATTAATTAACGCCCAAAACCAATGCTATAACTTTTACATGTTACAGTACTCAAGGTTTTTCTCATTAAATCAGTTAACAAGGTTTCATGTAATTGGGAATCAGATTCTTTAGATTATGTTTCTGCCCAAGGCAAAAAAGCTGATCTCATTGAGTGACTAGCTACAACAGCCGCACCAGGTCAAGAATTATTCAAGACTAATTACTACATTGTGCAAAATATTGCTAGTTGAATCAAAGACATCAAAAAATGCATTTTTATTTTCAAAACCAAGCAATCCATTCTGCCTATAACCCGTAGTTAAGAGTTTCAATTACCCAGAATCCTATTTGCTGCAGCCCGAGTAAACGCAACACGAGCGTCAACTTCCTTTTTAAATTAAAATATCAAAATAATTTGACTCTGTATCATGACATCGCCATGGCTCACCACTCCAAGACAAAACTGTCAATCAATTGCTCATTGAAAGTGTTTTCTATTGGTGAGTTCATTTGTTTTGAACGAGTGTCACGCTATATCTCGCCATACCTTAGCAANAACAACTAGAATCCAAGATGGCGGCCATATTGACAAGAAGGTCAATGGATGATCAGAAGCATCCAGGTTATGAGCAATTACATTGAAACTAAGGTGAATCTAATCAAGTAAGATGTCTGTATGCAGTCTTGTATGAACAGGGCTTGTAAAGAAATTAGTCCTAYTAGTGATAAAGACTAATACTTTCATAGTTTTCGTATTTCATATTTATTAACCAATGTATTATTTTGTAAATAATTTYTTAAGTAGTGAATGCAATCTCAAAATTAAAAAAAGTTGTTAATTGATCTGCGGTGGTCTTCATAGAGTCCAGTAGTATATTATCCAGGGACAGTAGCGGTAGTTTTCGATTGCGCAGCCCTGATACGAGTATATGTCAACCAGCAGGTCGATRGGAAAGAGTGCTAGTGCCCAGTCCTAATAGCGCAAGAACAAATTAACTCACATTCGAGTAATAAAAAGTCAGCCCTCTCACGATGCAGAGCAATAAAAAGAAATTATAAATCGAACGAACGATCGATCGATCTTTTTCTGATCGTTTACCCAGGAAGAACGACAACACCAATTGTTGGCTGTATGTTTCACTGTACCACTAGAACTCTTTAAAACTGCGGATTCACTTTGTGACATGCACTCTGAAATCAACRTAAATTCAAAATCCCAGGTGATTTATTGAAGTATTGACAGTATGTTAAGTGTCACGATCGTGCCCATCGAATTCAGAAAACGCGATGAACATTAGATGATATTTCGGGGAATACCCTTTTTGATAGCCTCCCACGCAAACGGTATGCGTAGGAGGACAATCTTTTTAGACATTGAATTCAATAGTCCGTTAAAAGCACCACACTCTTCACAGATCAAATGAGGTAGTCAAAGCAGACTGTATAAACGAATATCATTTACTCCGGCWTCTACATACATTGCGAATAACTGATTGTTGAAAAAAGAAATTAAACTGAATTTACATGTAATCCATTCAATTTTTAGTGATTTGTAGAGTGACCTATTTTGTTTTGGAATCTGTTTTCTAATCGTACTCTTTTACCAGCCTCATCGAAACAACTCTGACCCTTTCCGGAATTTTCTCACAATTAATTAACGCCCAAAACCAATGCTATAACGTTTACATGTTACAGTACTCTATGTTTTTCTCATTAAATCAGTTAACAAGGTTTCATGTAATTGGGAATCAGATTCTTTAGATTATGTTTCTGCCCAAGGCAAAAAAAGCTGATCTCAGTGAGTGACGACTAGCTACAACAGCCGCACCAGGTCAAGAATTACTAAACACTAATTACTACATTGTGCAAAATATTGCTAGTTGAATCAAAGACAACAAAAATGCATTTTTATTTCCAAAACCAAGCAATCCATTCTGCCTATAACCAGTAGTTAAGAGTTTCAATTACTCAGAATCCTATATGCTGCAGCCCGAGTAAACGCAACACGAGCGTCAACTTCCTTTTTAAATTGAAATATTAAAATAATTTGACTCTGTATCATGACATCGCCATGGCTCACCACTCCAAGACAAAACTGTCAATCAATTGCTCMTTGAAAGTGTTTTCTATTGGTGAGTTCATTTGTTTTGAACGAGTGTCACGCTATATCTCGCCATACCTTAGCAATTCAGCTGAATCGAAGATATCATTAATTCATTACTACAGGAATATAACACACCCAAACTGAACTCGTCGATTTTGTTTTCAACACCGTCTGAAAGCTTTATATTCGATAGGTAAGATGCACACTCGATTGAATTATTACTCCAGCGTATTGGTAATAGGCAACATTCTCTTTGATGTGGGGTGCTGATGGTGTCTTGCAGTGAAGGTTCTCTAACATCATCTTGCGTTGTTAAGAAACATTGAACGAAACGTATTTAAATGCTACTAGCTAGTAGCTTGTTCAGTTACTAGGGATTCATATGTTGATATATACTAAATTTATCCCCTTATAAATGGAGCAAGTGAGTATTGTAATCTCGGTGATTCGCTCGTCTGTCAAATTGAGGAGAATTGGAAAGTTGTAATTTACTGCAGGAGAAATATGGTATAATTGCGAGCCCAAAGCAATGACTTTTGGTACGTCAAAAATGTAGTTCAACGATTGACCCAAGCCTTACTAATAAACGTAGACTCTAGATTTATTACACCATGAAGCGGCAAAAATGTGATAGCGACCCTGGTATTAGCATCAGTTATACATGTACAATCAATCTTTTTACTTCTTTTTTTCGAGTTCTTAGGTGCTT